ACCTAAGTGCATCAACAGCCTAAAATAAACATAAACCATTCTGGGATGTATATTAGAGGTTGGTTCATTGGTTTTGGACTTCATTTTTTAAAAATAAAAATGAATCTTGGACAAATTTTACAAAACATGTCCTTGCACTGTGGAAGATGATAAAAGGAGAAATGGAAAAATGTCACAAAATATCCTGCTTTGTGGGCACCCTGTTTTTAAGGCAACCTGGAATACTCAGACCCTTCTTCCAATGAAGTGCTAGACTTCCTTCTACATCAACACTTTGATAGCGAAACTTTGTTTCCTTCTGCAGACTTGCCTTGATCCCTTACTACACCACTTTCATTTAAAAGCTCCACTCTTACTTCTTAACAGGAAAATCCCTCCCAACCCCTAAATTCTTTTATTAATGACCCCAGGCACATGCTGAAGATACTGTCCATTACATGCTCAAAATGGTCCAAAGAACTACACAGAAAATAGCTTTGAATAGGCTTGACCCCTTCATTCTAATCTATATTAGAATAGAGCTGTATAATTTGGAGGTGATAAACAATTGTCAAAAGTCACAGAAACTGCGACATGAATAGGGGTTTAATCTATGGTAATATGCATCCTTCTTATCCCTCCATTTTGGTGCCTGGGTCTTTGTTTGGCAGGATGGAACCATCCATAACCCACAACTATTATGCATTTATAAAAAAAGCCAAAATTTCCTGATCGCTTAAAGTTGCACGGTATTTTAACAGCTCCAGCCATGCCTTAAACCCCCCCCTCAAAACAAACAAAAAAAAACAAACAAACAACCCACCAACATCCTGTCAAAGGAAGGAACAGGTCCTTCTCCCTGGGCCCAGTAAGCTTTATTTGTGGAGTTAACCTAGAAAATTGAACTGTTAGAATGGTGAAACAAGCCAAAAATTCACTAACTCACAAAAAGGCTCTAAAATAGAGGTGCACCGATACATTGGTCCTATATTGTATCGGCACCGATATACAGAAAAATTGACATGATCAGCAACTGGCCTATTTTGGCTGATGTGGTCGATAATGCGGCTGATAAATGTCCCAAGCACGTGTACAGCTGCAGCGCAGCATGCAGGTGGCCTAGAGTGCAGCCCAGAAGCTTGGAGAACAGTTTCCGGCTGGTAAGTCTGTTGTGAGGGAAGGGGCGTGGGGGGCACAGATTGAAGCCCCTGCAGTGAGGGAGGCAGTGGGGCTGGGGCAGGCACAGCACAGCTGAGGCAGGACATGGGATGAAGCTGTGGCTCATCTAAGGGTGGGAGGAGGGAGTGGGGTGGGGTGGCTCCTGCTGCTATGTGCACCCCAGGAGGACATGGGGGGCACATGCCCCCAGATCTGTGTGCAGGCTGCCACTGCAAGCTGGGACCAGAGCTGCACCAGGCTGTTCC